CAATGCATATAGGTTTCAGATATGTGTGTGTGTGTGTGTGTGTGTGTGTGTGTGTGTGTGTGTGTGTGTGTGTTTCTTTTTTGAAGTCCCCATCAGAATCAAAGTAGCCACAGGATTTTTCTACTCAGCACTGAGATCACACCCATGGCCTCTCCCATGTGAAGTACATTCTCTAGCATTGAGCTGTGTCCCTGCCCAGCACAAGATTTAGCAAAAGTTTTGAAAACAAGCTGGGCAGTGGTAGTGCATGCCTTTAATCCCAGCACTTGGGAGGCAAAGGCAGGCAGATCTCTGTGAGTTCGAGGTCAGCCTGATCTACAAAGTGGGTTCCAGAACAGGCTCTAAAGCTACACAGAGAAATTCTGTCTCGAAAAACAAAAAGTTTTAAAAACAGCTTCTGATATAAACACTTCTAGGGTGTGAACAACTAAGTAAAAAAATTGTCTTTGTTTAGAAAAACAAGAAAGGTATTATGAAGAGTTGCATAGACTTTCATTTTGTGTCAAGTTGGTACAAGGCGAGGATCTGAATCCATTTAATAACATTAGAAATAAATGATTTAAATTACCATAGCAGCTTATGTCAAATCTATGTCTATTTTCTTCTGTGCCATTGTGACCTAATTAGTTTGTTCAGGTCCCTCTGCTAAAGGAAATCTGACATTATTTTCCATAGTGTTGTAAGTTTTTTCACATTGTTCTGAGGTTCATTAACTTATTTTTTATTTTTAGCAATTTTAAAATTTTATTTTTAATTCTTTTTTATTTCTTGAGATTATGATTTTATCATTTCTTTCTCCTTTCCTTCATCCAAACAATGTGTGCTAAGATAACTGTATTTCCTCATTCATGCCCACAGCTTTTTAAAGAACTGAATTCTCTAACTATATATATATGTATATATGTATACATTTTTATGTATACATATATGAATATATGTATAATTTTTATGAATGTAACAATATTGAGACTATACTTCCTTAGAATTACGCATATAACAAATGGAACTCCTCTTTCTACTATTTACTTTATTAGGAAACCAAGGCAATTCTAAAGATTTTAAAAGTATTTTAAGATAAAATTCTGAAAAACAAATCCATGGACTTAGCAGGTTGTATTTATATACATAACAGTAAAGGAGAAGAAGTCATGAATTTGAGAGCAAGTAGAGGAGGTCACTAGAGGATTTGGAGGAAAGGGTGGAGATGATGTAAATACAGTACTCACTAAAAAAAATTTAAGGGCTGGGCAGTGGTAGCAAACGCCTTTAATCCCAGCACTTGGGAGGCAGAGACAGGCGGATCTCTCTGAGTTTGAGGCCAGCCTGGTCTACAGATCGAGATCCAGGACAGCTAGGGCTACACAGAGAAACCCTGTCTCAAAAAACAAAACAAAATTTTAAAAAGAGGACACAAAGCAGGAAGGGTATAGGTGTGGATCCGGGTGGGTGGGGAGGAGTGGGGGATGAATATGATTAAATTGTATCATATACATGTATAAAATTCTAGAAGAATTAATAAAAAAAACTATTACTTAAAAAAAACCAACAACAACAACAAGAAGACAAGCACAACCCACTTTCTCCCATTCATAGATCAAAAATGAATTGTGAATTGGCCCAAAAGTTAGGCAACAAAACTACCACATAGGTCAGGATACTGAAAGAGATTATCCAGATGATAAAAGCAGAAACCAGCAAAGCCATCAAGTACTATGAGAAAAATGGGTTTCTATGTCATACACAGAGCAGAACTACCACCCTAGCCTCTGTCACGCTATTGCCCTCCAAGGCTGTCCTATCTTGTGCTCGGGATACATGTAATAAATATCATTGGCCTTCCCAGACTTTGATTTGTGCATACCAACCATGGATGGACTATATTGTGCCTGTACTGAACATGTACATGTGAATTTTTTTGATCATTTCCTTAAGAAATATAGAATTCGAACTATTTACATAGTATTCACTGTTAGGGAATATTTGTTTATACTATGAAGATGTGTCTCTGCCAAGGTGCCTTCTGATTGGTTTAATAAAGAGCTGAATGGCCAATACCTAGGCAGGAAGGGGTTAGGCAGGACTTCCAGAAACAAAAAGGACTCTGGGAAGAAGAAAGGCAAAGACACCAGGAGATGCAGAGCAAGCAGGCCATGCAGGAGGAGAGGAAACAACCACGTGACAGCACGTAGATTAATATAAATGCGTTAATTTAAGTTATAAGTTAAGTTATAAGTTAATTAGGAACAAGCCTAAGCTATAGGCCGAGATTTCATGATTAACAAGAAGTCGCCATGTCATTATTTGGGAGCTGGCTGGACAGAGAAAGACTTGTTACAGTTCACATTGCATTAAATATTAAACGTCATCTAAAGATGATTTAAAATATAAGAAGTGTGTGGGTTCCTATGCAAATCATGGTCAAACATCATATGACCAATAAAGCACATAAATAGAATGCATAGAGAAAAATGAAAGCATCTTTAAACATATGAAAGATGTTTAAACACACTAAAAGAAAGGTTATATTGATACATTTCTACAACAGCATATTCACACTCCACATAAGAAAAGGGAAAATATAATCACATATTCATGCACAATCTGCTTATATTTTTAAAGAAATGATACAAAGATGAACCAAAGACCAACAAGAATTGTTAGGGGAAGGTAAAAGGACCAAAGAGATGGGTAGAGACTAGACGTTTCTAAATATTTTGTATAGTTTCAAATAGCTTTTACTTTGGAGGCATATGAATGCCGCTATAGTTAATAAATGAAGTCGACTAGGAAAAAGGAGTTGCAGAAAAAGAAGAACAAACCTGACTCCACACAAAATTGTTAGGCTACTTAACAATAAGGGAAAATTATTTCAGGTGAACTTATGTCAATGTGAATATAGCCAATACATTATATGGCATACATATATGAATACACTGGATCATAAAGCAATCGTAAATTATATTAAAAGCTCACCATTGGTTATTCTGACACCCTCTTCATAAATGATAATATATGCCATTAGAAACAGAAATTTTTTATGTAACATTGCAGAGGTACAGAAGATCTGGAAGAGATGGCAACCCCAACCAGTGGCCCACCCTTAGCTCCCAACTGCAGTCTCTAAACACTGCTCCCTTCTAAGAGATCCAGATCTTCTAGAAAAATGCCTGCTTCCTGGCTTGGGACAGGAAATGTGTAAGGCAAGCCAGGATCAGCATCTCCTGCCAGAGAAGGTCCTTATATTTTGCCAGTGAGATGCTTTTATTTTCTTATGTGTACGGTTGTTTTGCCCGACTTTGCATCTGTGCCAGAAGGCTAGAAGAGGGCATTGGATCCCCTGGAACTGGAGTCACAGACAGTTGTGAGCCACCATGTGATACTGGGAGTCAGACCTGAGTCCTCTTGAAAAGCAGCCAGTGCTCCTAACCTGCCTGAACCATCTCTCCAGCCCCGGGCAAAAGGTTTTGATGTTTTAGATTTGCTCTAAAAGACTTCAACCAAACATATGCATGTCACATACACATATGTATGTGCATGCTTGAACACACACACACCACACACACACCACACACACCACACACACACACACACACACACACACACACACACACACACACACACACACCAAGCATCAAAGCCAAGGAAGGTAGAGGGGAGCTTACTATACACCTCTCTGTTTTGTAGTTTTGAAATTTTCTACAGCTAAAAGAATTTTTAGGCCAGATGATGTAGCTCAGTACACACCAAGTAGAGTGTTGGCCTGACTCGCCTGAAGCCCTGGTTTTATCACCTACAATCCCAGCACTCAGTAGGATTAGGAGAATCAGGAGTTAAAGGCCAGCCTATGCTACAAGGTGATATTCCAAGCCTTAGCTACTGTGACACTGTCTTTAAAAAATATCTTTAGAATATTCTTTCAAAAGTTACTTTATCAAAGAGAACGGGGCTTATTTCAAGGCTAGAATGTGTGTTCAGCATGAGTGAAGCTTCAGTCCTCAGCACCAAAAAACAATTGCTTTATCAGAGTGTCTTTTTTGTTCACCTGTATTACAAAGGCAAGCAAAATCATCCTCACACTTCATTCCTTGGCCCCCCAATACCTTACATTACTATAAATATATTGACAGGCTCACTTTCCATTCATAGAGAGGTAGCCTTTGCCTGTTCACTGTGTAGCCCACATCCCACATCAAAGCAACCTGGGATACTTATTAAAAATGCTTGCCCCGGGCTCCTCATACCAGGTATACTGAATCAGAAATTTTAGCCCCGAGGCCAAAGAGCCTGCCCTTCAAGCAGCATTATCAGTTGACTTTTCTGCATGCTTGAGAACGCTTGCTTTAAGGGATTTGCAGTATGACCATGGGCTCTCTATGACTGTGCTAACATCAACACACAGTCTTTTTAAAACTGGTCATCCTTCACTTGGGCACAGATAGTATGGTGGCTCATAATTAATTCACTGGCTGTACAACTCTGCTCCCACCTGGCAATTAAAAATGAGTAAAAATTTAAAAACATGTTGCTCTGCTTTTGACCAAAAGTAACTTCAAAGTATTACTCTTGGACTCGGCTCCAATTTCCAAATTTAGAAGTAAAGACTTTCAAAGTACTCTCTTCTCCATCTATCATGACAGCCAGGACACTGCTTACAATTGGCCTTCATTTTTTTTCTATCTATCTATCTATCTATCTATCTATCTATCTATCTATCTATCTATCTATCCATCCATCCATCTATCTTTTTTTTTTTTTTTGGGTTTTTCGAGACAGGGTTTCTCTGTGTAGCTTTGCGCCTTTCCTGCCATCTATCTTTTTTTGACATAAATTCTCACTCTGTAGCCCAGGCTAGCCTGGAAGTCACTATGAAGCCTGGGCTAATTTCAAACTTGTGGCAATTCTTTTGCATCAGCCTCCTGAGTGCTAGGATTATAGGTATGAGCCACCATGCCTGGTTCACCTCTTCTTGTTCAAGGTCCCTTACTGTCCCACTAACCTTCTCCAGGACCAGGGTTCAATTCCCAGCACTCACACAGTGGTTCCTAACCACCTGCAATTACAGTTTTGGGTATCTAATGCCCTCTTCTGTCCTACACAGGCATGCTCATGGCGCACAGATATATACATGCAGACAAAACACTTATACACATAAAACAAAGTAATTGTAAAAAAAAATTAAAAGAAATCTTCTGTTCTGGCCTTACCAACCAGCTCACTTTATCCCAAACACTCCATCTCAACACTGTGATTTTTCTAAGTCATTGCTTCCATCCAGCAAGCTCTTCCTTTCTCATAGTAAATCCCCACGCATCATTCACTCATTTCATGATCTCCCCCAAAGGCTCTTAGGTCTGAACTTCCTAGACAGAGGTGAACTTTTCATTCTAAACTCCCACATTAATGGATTTTCCCTCTCCATACACTCATCTAATAACTCTTATTCACTACCTGGCATCGAGAATTTTCTCTTCATGTGCCATACCCCTCTTTATAAGAAACCCAGCCAAGCCGGGCATTGGTGGCACATGCCTTTAATCCCAGCACTCGGGAGGCAGAGGCAGGAGGATCTCTGTGAGTTCAGGGCTAGCCTGGTCTACAGAGCGAGATCCAGGGAAGGCGCCAAAGCTACACAGAGAAACCCTGTCGCAGAAAAAAAAAATCAATCAATCAAACAAACAAACAAAAACCCCAGCCAAGTAGGTGCATTGTCAGAGAATACATAGACCAATTAGTACTTAATTACTTTAAATTCCCATTAATATCTTAGCGAGCAGAAGATACTCTTAAAAATAAGCAGTTGGTCAGGGCTAGGGAGGTGGCTCAGTTGCTGCACTTATTAAGCTAGCTTGACAGCCAGATCATAAACTCCAGGTTCAGTGAGAGGCCCTGTCTCAAAAAAAAAAAAAAAAAAAAAAAAAAAAAAAAGACGGGTGCTGGTGGTGCACGCCTTTAATCCCAGCACTCGAGAGGCAGAGACAAGTGAATCTCTGTGAGTTTGAGGCCAGCCTGGTCTACAGAGCAAGCTCCAAGACAGCCAGGGCTACACAGAGAAACCCTGTCTTGAGGGGGAAAAAGGTGGAGAATTAATTATTGAGGAAGATACTTGATGTCAATTCTGAACTTTCCCTCTGTGCATGTGAGAGCATACGCTCAGTGCACACACACACACACACACACACACACACACACACGTACACATATTTACACACATATATGGACACACACAAAGAAAAGCAAAGAAAATTATAAGCAACTGGTTAATGGCTGAGTGGGTCAGGAGAACCCACTCTTCTATATGATCATTGTTCTTTCTGACTACGCCAGAAGACAGACACCCTGAGGATAAAGGAAAATGCCAATCCACTACTTACCAATGAGGGCGACAAGTCCCCAGAACACCGCCGAGGGTACCATGGTGGGGACTCTTATCCTTTGGGACCTGCTCTGGTTTGAAATAGAAACAGATTAATTTTAAAAAGTTTCTTAACAGGAAGTTTCTCTGATTTAAAAAAAAAATAAATTAAAAAGCTTAGAATTATTTCCAATTCAACGTCTGTTTTCCAGTTCCACCCCAGCATTCCTGCAGCCTCAAGCATGTGAGTTGATAGAGCACTCTCTTACAGCATAACTCCCAGTTAACTCCAATCCAGTATCACGCCGATACCACATCTGCCACACATTACCCCACATACACCTAGCAGAGGTTTGCTGTATTCTGTCTCTTCCCAAACAGGTTCTTCCCTTGGTTTTGTTTATAAAGAATCTTCTGTGCTTCACAAAATACAAGAAAGCTAGCACTTACCTCCTTTGCAACCTCCCAGAGAAAACTCTCCTGTCTTTGAAGATGCCTTTAGTGGCAGCAGCCTGCAGGTTAAGACTTCACAGAGTGGTGGCCTTTACAATAATATGTCCTATAACACAGTGATGACAGTTGGAGAATCCATCAGGCAGGGGCTCGCTGTGCCTCTGGCTTCATTCAACTGAGCAGACCTCAGTGTGGCTCCACCACCAAGAAGGAAGCTTTTAAACAGGAGCACCCAGACTCGCCTGCCTCGTCTACTTTTGTCCTGTACCAATGATTGGCAGAGGAGCTTTATATGTGATTTAAAGGCCTCTCTTTAAACCATTGGCCTCATTAGACCTGATTATAGTAGCACTTTGGATTTAGGTGGCTCCTTCCATAAAAGGACTTCAAAGTGTTTATTGACCACGATGAATTAATGAATCTAATGAACCCCCAGGTTGCACTGGAGGCATCTATTTGGTGGGCCATTTCTGGATACCTAAAATGATACTAGGCACGCATCTTCTAAATTTGAGGATAAGATGCCGACAATTGGTCTAGAAAGGAGAAATAAACAGGAAATGTTAGCTCATTTCTGAATGGATAATTCAGCTGAAGTGCTGATTTTCACATTTTGGTATACAAAGAGGTCACACAGTCTTATACCATGGTGTCACTTGGCCATGTGTGATAGATTAACTTGGCTTCTGGCTCCAAAGTCACCTCTAACAAGATAGCTACCTGCTACAGAAGAGCCACACAAAGGCAGGGAGCAGCAATCTGGGTGCTCACTCGTCTCCATTATTTTCTGTGTGTGCACAATGCATGTGTGCACAGAGGTCACAGGCCAATATCAGATATCTTCCTCTTTCCATCTCCACATTAGTTTTTGAGACAGGCTCTCTCATTGAGAGATGAAGTTCACTAATTAGGCAAGAATCGCTGTCTCTGCCTCCCAAACATTAGGAGTACAAATGCACAGCATTGTGCCCAGCATCTTGCCTGGGTGCTGAGAATCTGCGCTCAGGTATTTTTGTTTGCATGCTCGGCCCTTTACGGACTGAGCTACCTCTTTAGCTGTCATTTCCCAGACTTTCTAAGGAAATGGAAGAAATGGGCTTTGTTGGTGGTAAAATCTATCTTCAAGGAGACAGCATCATTTTTTTTTCACACTTACAAGAGAAGAAAGCACACACAGGAAATGGAAAGAACATTCTTATACTAGGCAAAGCACATTTCCCAGAGCGGAGGAAAAAGTCCAGCCTGGATACCTCTGTACAGCAGAGATGTTTCAGAGACCACACACAATCCTTCCAACCACCAGGAGATGGAAGACAAAGGCACTGGGCTAAACCACTCTCCAGGTTCCCAGGGAGAAGCTGGTCTCTGTCCCAGGACACCCACTTCCACCCTGTGTGCTTTGCTCCAAAGCGGGAGTCCTCAGGAAGGCAAGGCCGACCATGCTCTGAGCCGATGGGTGATCCCTGTCTTGAGTCTCGGGGAAATGACTCACAGAGGGCCTCCTCTATCTCCACTGTCAACACTGCAGCCGGGGCTGCTCATTAATAAGGGGTTTTGCACAAGACTAGCTGCCCTGAGGCAGCCCTTAGAAACACAGAGGTTATTACTGGCAACAATGCCACCTTTCAGGTCACACCGAGGCATTGTGTTTGTGGCCTGCCCAAATGCTGGCCAGGGATGATTTGGGCTACTGACGTGAGGCTTCCAGGACAAACACGGGAAAGCTTAGAAGGGAGTAAGAAAGGATGGAGAAAGAATTTAAAGGTGAAACCAGGTGGAGGCTCTTGCTGTCCCTAGAAACTCCTGGAATTACCAGCGTTCATAGAACAGTGTTGAACATGAAGCACACCCAGTTCCTCTCCCCGCCTTCAGAGGTGAGGCTTAATGTTTCTAGGCACGAGACTCACAGCTCTGCAACTTCAACTATTGTTTTCAAATGTGAATCACTCTGCTTTGCTCAAACTGCGCAGGGTGGGCGGTGGAAGAAAATGTCTTTGACAGTCCTCAAATGTCAGACTCCTTTGTATGTACAGTATTCCATCCTCCAATAGGGGTGAGTATTGTTATTTTAGAAATAAGGACACTGAGACTCAGAAAAGCTAAGCGACTTACCAAAGATGGCCCAGTAACTGTGGGGCAGAGTCAGGATTGGAACCCAGGGCCGTGAGACTCCATAACCAATGTTTTCCTGCAAGAGCACAGGATCACTCTCTAAACTAACCACCCTGTAGAGTGACTGTTACAACAGGTCCAAAGTAGCCTGTACCCAAAGCCTCACCTGTGGTCTGCATAAATGACACCAGCCCCAGAGAGTCACACCATTATCTCTGTGGGTGGTGCTGTGAGTCCTACAACATAGATTAATGTGAATCGACCGAATCCACAGTACTTCATTTTTCTCTGCGATGATTCGGTTAATAGGTATTGAACTGCCAAGAAGTAAGCTAGGTAGAATGTTCTCAAAGACACAGCAGGGGTGGCTGTACTCATCAAGACTTTATTGCCTATAACCTACTGAGCTGGTAGATGGCTAAATTCAAACACATAAGGATTCTGTTGTTGTTGTTTTTCTAGGCAGGGTTTCTTTGTGTAACAGCTCTGACTTTCCTGGAACTTACTGTGTAGACCAAGCTGGCCTTGAACTCACAGAGATCCACTTGCCTCTGCCCCACCCCCCACCCAGTGCTGGGACTAAAGGCCTGTGGATTTTTTTTTCTGAAACAGGGTTTCTCTCTAGCTTTGGAGCCTATCCTGGAACTCGCTCTGTAGACCAGGTTGACCTCGAACTCACAGAGATCCACCTGTCTCTGCCTCCTGAGTGCTGGGATTAAAGGCGTACACCACCACTGCCTGGCTTAGGCCTGAGGATCTTAACAATATCTTGCCATTTAAAAAGAAACCCACAGGCTGGGTGATGGTGGCACATGCCTTTAATCTCAGCACTCAGGAGGCAGAGGCAGGCGGATCTCTGTGAGTTCGAGGCCAGCCTGGTCTACAGAGGGAGATCCAAGAAAGGAACAAAGCTACACAGAGAAAACTTGTCTGGGGGGGGGAGAAAGAAAGAAAGAAAGAAAGAAAGAAAGAAAGAAAGAAGGAAGGAAGAAAGGAAAGAAGGAAGGAAGGAAGAAAGGAAAGAAGGAAGGAAGGAAGGAAGGAAGGAAGGAAGGAAGGAAGGAAGGAAGAAAGAAAGAAAGAAAGAAAGAAAGAAAGAAAGAAAGAAAGAAAGAAAGAAA